TGCTGAGAAATAATCGATTATTGTTCAAAAATGAGCAGCCTGCTGAAAAGCTTAAAAATCGATTAAAATGGAGCAAATAATCGATTAGGAGGCTCTGTCCAAGCTAATCGATTATTTTAAGAGAAAAAATCGATTAAGAATTCAAACCTGAGAAATTGCGCTGGATCTAATCGATTATTTTAGAGTAAATAATCGATTAACATGAAAATAATGCGCAAACACAAAGGGCCCAAGCCAAGTGCGATTGGAAGCACTTTGGCTTCTAACTCGTTGTTTGAGACAACGAGAATAAGAAACGCTCCTACTATTAAATCTCCCTTATTCAATGAATTTGAGTAGGGGAGAAAAAAAAAGAGAGTCCAAAAATTATTTTGTGTGTCAAACAATACACGAGAAAATATTTAAAGTATATTTTTCTCACAAAGGAAAATTGTATAACTTTAAAAATTGATGTTTTTAAAAGAAATTTTGACACACTCATTTTGAAACTGACTCACTAAAATATTTTGGACAGAGAAAAAAAATGATTTTTCAACTGACTCAAAAATAATTTTTATCCCTCAGAAATTAAATTGTTTTGTGCAAAAGATATTGTCATCCTTACAAAAAATCCTAGACTCAATAAAAATTAAAAAGTCTTCGGAGTCTTCACATCACTTCAAAAAACTGCGTTGGGGGACTGTTGATTTTTATCCCGTAACTTTCTTGATACGCCTCTTTTCTTTTCTCGGTACGAAAATTGAATTTTCGATCATCGTTTGAATTTCATCATCCTGTTTGTCATTTATCAAAACAAAAATATTCCAGAGAAAATAATAAAGGGGTTTGAACTCATGTCCAACAAATATATGAGAAAATGACATTATCCTCCTCTCACATGCTATAAGATTGTTATCTTTCTATCTTTTTCATCTTTTTTCTCTCCATTTTCTTCTCATTTTTTATGAATCAAAATTCCAAACACTATTTTTTTCTGCTTAGTTTATTTTCCTCATTTCTTTTTCTCTAATTTGTTTTCTTATCATTTTCTGTTAAATATGTTAAGCATATTTTATTATACATGTTAAGAATATTCCTTGTACCAATTATAGTACATTCCTTATTTGTATAGGATTCTCATTCATGACTGTTTCCTTATTGTAACCCCTTCCCTTGTATATAAAGCGAGGTGGAATCATTGTATGAAATTAAGGGAAAATAATAATTCTTTTATGGTATCGGAGCCTACTCGAGGTTAACCCCGAAACCTCTCTTTCCCGGCGTAGTCCTCTCTCTCTCCCTCGGCACACACACCTCCCGCCAGCACCCCTCCCTCCTTCTCTATCTATGGCTTCGGACAAATCAAACACCCCCTCACCCACCCCTCATCTTGCTTTCACAACAGTTTCTAACGTCAAACTCCAAGTCCCTATTACCCTCAGCTTCTCGGAGCCGAACTTCAAAAAATGGAGCCGTCTTTTCCTCCTCTTGGTCCGACGCTTCAACCTTGAAGGTTTCCTTACCGGTGAGAAAACCTCCACCGGAAAGGATGACGTCGAATGGCTCCAACTAGATGCTCTCATTCAAGGATGGATCCTCTCCACCGTCAACGATGAGGTCTCGGATCTCATCATCTCCTCCACCACATCCGCTGCAGATCTTTGGAAATCAATTCACAACTTGTTTCACGATAACAAGGCGGCTAGAGCAATGCAACTCGAACAACAATTCTTCAACACCGTCAAAGGAACATCTACCATAGCTTCGTATTGTCAAACACTTCGCAACATTGCGGATTGGCTTGACGATGTAGATGCCCCGGTCACCGAAAATCAGCTTGTCTTGCAAACCCTACGTGGCCTCCCGGAGGATCTCAGCAATCAAGTCTCGTTTTTAGAGTTTCAAAAACCTCCGCCAACATTCATGGAGACCCGGTCAGCCCTCCTTCTTCTCGAGGGACAGCGGAGACCTCACGCAGCCGCTGGCGAAGGGGGCACGACGCTGGCAGCACACAGCAGCGGAGGAGGAGGCGCGCGCGGCCCGGGCTACGGTGGTCATGGCGGCCCGCATTCTGGACAGGGCAGCGGCGGTAATGGACCGTCCCACGTGTACGGTGGACGGGGACAGGCGCATGGTGGCCGCGGTGGATGGCCGGCTCGCGGTCGTGGTCGTGGACGGAACGCAGGAACAAACCCTCGGCACACCTCTAGGCACTTTAATCCTTGGCAGACTACTTACCCAACTCAACAGTGGGCTGGGCTCTTGGGCCCACGCCCCAACCCAAATCAAACCCCGGCCCAAGCCTATTTCACTCAACCCACCTTCTATCCTTTTACCCACAACCCATTTAGCCCACAAATCCCTTTTAATCCACAAGCCCAACCNGCCTCCGACCCAGGTACTATTTCCCATATTTATTCAAAAAGTTCAAATTCATCACCTTTTATCACTGTAGGTAATGGATCCAAAGTGCGCGCCACGGCGGTTGGTAAACATACTTTCCCCACCTCCCCACCCTTATCCCTTCATAATGTCCTTATTTCTCCCCATATCATCCACAACCTAATCTCAGTTCGTCAGTTTACCCGCGATAACAATTGTACAATTGAATTTGACTCTAATGGTTTTTCTGTGAAGGACCTTCGGACGGGCAACGTGATTCATCGCTCCAATGACAACGGTCCCCTCTACCCCCTGCACCCGCACGCCCCAGTTGCTCAAGCGCACGCTGCCTCCGTTGACACCGAGACATGGCATCGTCGTCTTGGTCATCCTAGCCCAGCTGTTTTCCATGCTATTCCCCCTTTATCTGTTTTTAATAATAAACATTTTTACGACAATTTATGTCACGCTTGTCAGTTAGGGAAACATGTGTGTCTCCCCTTTACTCCTTCTAGTCGTACTTCAACTTTTCCATTTCAACTTATGCACACTGATTTATGGCAGTCGCCAGTACCTAGTATTACTGGTTTTAAACATTATATGCTTCTTCTTGATGATTTTTCTCATTACTTATGGGTTTTTCCGTTACGTCACAAATCTGATGTCTTTTCTCAACTAACCAATTTTATGGCTTATGTGAAAAATCATTTTAACACAACAGTTAAAAATGTACAATGTGACAATAGAACAGAATACCGTAACACCCCCCTTCAAACTATTTTTAACTCCTTAGGCATTCTTTTCCGCTTCTCCTGTCCCCACACAAGCCAACAAAATGGTCGAGCCGAACGAACCATCCGAACCCTCAATAACACCATTCGCACCTTGCTTTTTCAAGCCCAACTACCCCCTGAATATTGGGTCGAGGCACTTCATATGGCCTGCCATCTCTTTAACCTCTTACCCACCACCACTATCCACAAACGCACTCCTCATGAAGTACTCTTTCAGACCCCACCCTCCTACGATCATCTCCGTGTTTTTGGATGTCTCTGCTATCCAAACATCTCTGCCACTGCCCCCCACAAATTATCTCCTCGGTCCACTCGGTGTATTTTTCTCGACTATCCCCCCAATCAACGTGGTTTCCGATGCCTCGACCTAACTACCCACAAAATCATTATCTCCCGCCATGTCACGTTTGACGAATCCATTTTTCCTTTCGCTCACCCTACCACGCCACAAGACCTTAACTTTCTTGACACCATGGACGACACTATTCCCCACACTCTACACCAACTTTTTCAACCCCCGCCGGCCCATCAATCTGCCATCCAGCCCACCCCCAATTCTGC